AACTGGTCATCGCACAAAACTTATTCGCTTTAAAACATATTTATTTAGCCAAGTGATTCGGGCTTCAGTTACAGCCCTAGCTGGAGAATATAAATCTCCTACAGCCTTCAAAAATGGAAGGTTAACCTTTGATATAAACTTCACAGGCAGCGTCTCTGTGTAATAAACCTATTTATTTTGCAGACATCAAAGAGCCTGTTGCTGCGCTGCAAGATCCAGCAAAGATCGCAGATGTGGAAGGGTTACCGTGGGAACGTTGGCGAGGATCTCTGAAGGATATTCACTGCAAACATACCTGCCGAGACTGCGTGCGTTTTCTTCAACTCCAGCACCAGGGAACAATAACAAAATAGAGTGTATGCTGAAAAGAGAAAATACAACCTCCAACGCGTAGTTTGGTATTTCACTACAAAAGAAATTAAACGCTGTCACATTTTTCCCCAAGTAGATGCTCTACGAGCATTACCCTGCGTTTTCAAAACATTGGTTCTACTTCTGTGGCCTACTTCAGCTAATCTTGTGGTGAAGATAATTGAATCTCCGTAATTCAATTACTGTAGAACAACCATTTCCTAGTTACAGCAAAGTCCAAAGATGTGCAGGCTGACGAGATTGACCATGCGAAATTGTGTGATGTTCACGGCTGTGTAGATTATGTGGGTTATAGGCGGATGGGTCGGTGTGGACTTGTTGGGCCGAAGGGGCTGTTTCCACAGTACAGGGATTCTATGATCTATGGTTTGCAGTATTCAGTAGTTTTGATTATTTTAAAACCAGGAATTAAATTAATTGATCAGTAGTCCAATATTCAAATTAAAAGCTGAAACATTATCTTCAGCCTCTCTTTTAGTACAGGCATTCAATTATCCTGGCATCAGTGAATTCCGAGGATAAGCTCCATCCATGCCAATACTTTTCAGTAACATCCACTTTCATGAAAATAAATGGATACTCTAGTCTTCAGATGAAGCAAAATTCCTATCAAAAAGCCTAACCATTACAATGGCGTAGTTAACTGTTGAATTATATTGTTTCAAATAATAATTGCATATTGGTGCATATCAAGAACATACTTTCATTGCTTTCATTTACCAAAGCTGCTCATTATCCAAGATCATCCTGGGATACAAAGACAATTCTTCAATTCTTCTCCACTGCAAACGTCCTTTCAAAAATCTTCTGCCCTGCCTCTGCCAATCTTACTTTCATCAGCATGTGTGACATATGATCAGCTTCTGCTGCCATTCCTATCCTTCCCCTATGTCACCAGGCAAACTTAAAGAACACGCCCTGTCCTGAACTTGAATTTGCTCCAGTTTCTCTCCAACCCAATTCCTATCGGTAGTAAAAATAGAAAAATGCTGAAGAAACTTGGTAGGTCTCTACATCTGTGGAGAGAGTAAAACAGAATTAATGCTTTTAGTTCAATTTGACTTCTTCAGAACTCACTAAACGCTGACCAGTGAACTACCACTCCATGCTCCCACACAAATGACAGGAATTGATCATCTCCAACAAGAAAGAATCTGACTGTTGCTCCATGACATTCAATGATATTACCATCACTGAATTTCACACCATCAGTTTCCTGGGAGTTACCATTGACCGGAAACGAAACTACACTCGCCATATAAATAGTGGCCGCAAAAGCATTTCAGAGGCTAGAAATCCTGCAGCAGGTAACTTGCCAAAGCCTGTCCCCCAACTACAAGGCTCAAGTCAGAATACCCCCTACTTGCTTGGATGAGTGCAGCTCCAACACCACTCAAGAAGTTTGACACCATCCTGGACAAAGCAGCCCACTTGACTGGCTTCACGTGTGCACATAGCCATTCCTTCCAACACCAACCAAAGTGAAATGCAGAAATTCATCAAGGATCCTCAGACAGTACCTTACAAACCTATGACTGCTACCATCTATAATGACAGGGTAGCAGATACATGGGAACACCAGCACCTGCAAGTTCTCCTCCAAGCCACTCATCATCCTGACTTGGAAATATCTGTGTCACTGAGTTAAAATCCTGGAACACTTTCCCTAAGGGCATTGTGGATCTACCAACAGCATGTGGACTGTAGCTGTTCAAGAAGCAGCTCACTACCATCTTCTCCTAGTATCCCTAGAGTGTGGAAGCAGGCCATTCAGCCCATCGAGTCCACACCAACCCTCTGAAGAGCATCCCACCCAGACCCACCCCCTACCTTAGACACTATGGGCAATTTAACATAGCCACTCCACTAAAACCACATAGACACAGGGAGAATGTGCAAACTCCACTCAGAAATTATCTGAGGCTGGAATCAAACCGGGTCCCTGGCGCTGTGAGGCAGCAGTGGAAATCACTGAGCCACCATGCTGCAAGGTCAGCTAGGATGGGCAAAAAATGTTGGCCCAGCCAGTGAGACCCACATGCCATGAATTTTTTTTTTTTTTAAAAACTTGTCTCTTGTTCCTTGGATTCTCTTAAAAGTTCCTTTAAATATAATCATGGCCATTCTCCTCCTCAACAACACATAACCTCCTCCATCCTTGGAAACTATCACCCCGTCATCAACTTCCAATTGCTCTCCAAAGTCTTTGCACATGTTGTCATCTCCCAAATCTGTGTCTATCTTTCTCAAACTCCATGTTTGAATCAATAGTCAATCTCCACCATGCCGCAATACTGAAACAGATCTTATCGAAATAGCAAATAACATCCTAAATTATTCCGACGAAAGTTATTTTTACAAGCTTACCCCTCTAGACATTTTGTCAACCTAATAGTGTTCCAGTGAAGTTCAATGCAAAATCCAGGAACAGTAACTTATCTCCCACTTAGGCACCTTACAGCTTTCAGACACAATACAGAGTTCAACAATTTCAGACCATGAACTTTGTCCCCCATATTGATATGTTTTAGTTTTGATTTTTATATGATCACTATGAAACAGGAGGGGAGGCGAAGGCCTAGTGGTATTAACACTGGACTGTTAATCCAGAGACCCAGATAATGTTCTGGGGACCCGAGTTCGATTCCCACCATGGCAGATGGTGGAATTTGAATTCAATAAATATCTGGAATTGAAGAGTCTCATGATGACCACAAATCCATTGCCAATTGTTGGAAAAACCAATCTGTTTCACTAATCCCCTTTAGGGAAGGAAACTGTCATCCTTACCTGGTCTGGCCTACATGTGACTCCAGACCCACAACAGTGCAGTTGACTCTGAAATGCCCTCGAGGCAATTAGGGATGAGCAATAAATGCTGCCTCGCCAGCAACACCCTCATCCCATGAATGAATAAAGGAAAAAAAGAACAGGGTTGTATTTTGTTCCAACACACTCATTCACTCTGGAAAAATGCTTCGTTTCTTAACTACAGTCTCTAACACTTCATTTACTTTTTGTTCCACAACATCTTTGTTATTGCAATCTTCCCATCCTTTATCCTATTCTTGACCTTCTCGTTCATGCCTTCTTTATCTCCAGACTGGATTAGTCCAATGAACTCTGAACTGATTTCCCAAATTTCATCCGCTATAAACTTGACAACTTCCAAGCCTCTGCTCTATTTGTCCTTACTTGCACCAAGTTCTGTGGTTCAGAAAAGATTTACAAGGATGTTGCTAGGATTTAAGCTAGGGCTTAAGCGACAGGGAGAGGCTGAAGAGACTGGGGCTATATTCCCTGGGCATCGAGGCTAAGGGGCAACCTTATAAATGTTTATAAGGTTATGAGGAGTATGGATATCGTAAATAGACAAGGTCTTTTCCCCAGGATGGGGGGAGTCCCAGCATATTCAGCCATTAACTTCTATAAGGTCACCCCTCAGCCTCAGAAGCTCAGGGAAAATAGCCCCAGCCAACTTAGCCTCTCCCTATAGAAGTTTATAAAATCATGAGGGGCACAGATAAGGTGAATAGCCAAGATCTTTTTCCCCAGAGTAGGGGAGTCCAAAACTAGAGGGCATAGGTTTAAGGTGAGCGGGGAAAGATTTAAAAGGGTCCCGAGGAGTAATTTTTTCACGCAGAGGGTGGTGCATGTATGGAACAAGCGGCCGGAGGAGATGGTGGTGGGGTTGGGTACAATTACAACTTTTAAAAGGCATCTGAATGGATACATGGATAGGAGGGGGCTAGAGGGATATGGGCCAAATACTGGTAACTGGGATTAGATCAGTTTAGAATATCTGATCAGCACAGACGAGTTAGACTGAAGGGTCTGTTTCCATGCTACATGACTCTATGACCCTGTATTTGTTGACCTCCATTGGCTCCCTTCTAAGCAACATCTTGATTTTAAAATTCTTAATGTTTTTTCCAAATCCCTCCATGGCCTTATCCCACAGTATCTATGACAATTTTTACAGCCTCAGAACTCTCCAGAATATCTGCAATCATCTAATCCTGATCTTTTGAAGTTCTCCATTGGCAGTTCTGCCTACACATACATGGTCCTTAAGTTCTCAAACTGCTTTCTTAAACCTCTCTATCTCACCTTCCTCCTTCAAGGTGCTGCTTACTCAGGCCCAACCTATAGTCATATGCTTATTAGACATTTATGAGGTTTGGTATCAAAATGTGTTTTATATTGGTCCATTTAAGAATTTAATTACAAATTTTAAATAGAAGTTGCTGTTATTGGTGTTGGTTTATTTACTTTTCAAGTGATTTCCATAGATAACCACTTACCATAAGAGAGTATATATCTTGAAGATATAATCGTAAATAAGCCTGTTCTCATCAGTGCCTTGTACAACCAAAGCACAACCTCCCTATTTTTGTGTTCCACTCGCTTCACAATAAATTATAACATTCTATTATCTTGCCTGATTACTTGCAGTATCAACAATCCAGCTTTTTACAATCCAGACATCCAAATCCCTCAGAACCACAGAGCTAATCTCTCACCATTTAGATAACATGCTTTATTTTTATTTATCCTGCTAAATGGATAATTCCATATTATTCCATTATACTCCATTTAGCAGATCTTGGACCACTCACTTAACCTATCTACGTCTTTTGCAACTTCATGTCCTCTTCACAACTAGTTTTCCTACTCGTGTCATCAGCAAATATGGCAACTACATCTTCCATCTCATGTAAATTGTAAACAGTTGAGATCCCAGCACTGCTCGTGTGACACGCCAATCCTTGCATCTTGCCAACATGAAAAAGATACATTTATACCTACTCATTGGCTGGTTAACAGGAAGTAATCTTCTATCCATGCTAGTGATATCCCCACATCATGAGCTTTTATTTTCTGCCATAACCCTTAATGTGGGAATTTATCATATACCTCTTGGAAATCTAAATACAATACATCCATAGAGTATATTGCTTTATCCACAAGAACTCCAATGGATTGGTCAAACATGATTCCCCTTTAACAAAACCATGTTGACTCTGCATGATTACCTTAATCCTTTCTAAACGCTGTGCTATATTTGATAATAGCTTCCAACATTTTCTCTGTGATAGATGTGAAGTTAGCTGGCCTGTGGTTTCCTGCTTTCTGTTTCCACCCATTTTCTGACTAAGGGAGTTACATTTGCTACCTTCTAATCTAATGCATGTTTTTGGAAAATTAAAATGAATACATCAACTATCTTACTTGCTATTTTTATTTCTAATCAACCTGTTCAGAGATGTCATCACACCACTTCAGCAGATGGGACTTGAATCCAGGGCCTCCTGGTCCAGTACACTTATTGCACCACTTGAACACTACTACTACTACTTTTAAGGCACAGGACCTTGGTACTTCTAGTATCCAACAATTAACTTCTACTTCTCTGATGATTGTAATTTTCCTAAGCTCCTTCCTTCCATTTCTTGGTTACTAGTTGCTTCCGGGCTATTTCTTTTATTCTCTAAAGGGAAAAATGATGCAAAATCCTGTTCAATGCATCTGCCATTTCTTTACTTCCTTTTATCAATTCGGCAGAAATGGATTATAGGGGGCAGGCTGAAAATTGGAGGAGTTGAGACCATGATGAAGTTGGCCAAGATATTATTGAATGATGGGGCAGGTATGATGGCACAAATGGCAAACCCATGCTTCTATTTACATTCTTGTAGCATTCTAGAAGCACACATAATTTCCAGCAGAGTGGATGGCAATCAAAAGCTGGATGCCTACGTATTTTCATGAACTCTGGGGTGCCAAAGCCAATTGGAGCATCTTACTACCTGAACAACAACAAAGTACATTTACGAAGCACATTTCCACATAGAAAATAAGAGACTGGAGGCACTTCACAGAAGCATAACGATGAAAGAATGATGAATCAAAGCGAGATCATCCAAAGCTTCCTTAATTTTTTTTAAGGGAGATGTTAATGGAAGAAATAGAGGTGCAGTTGAGATAACTAATCACATTCCATTCCATGTATTACATACTTTGGGAATTGATGAGTATGTTTACTTATTACTTAAATTAAGAGTTACCGGTAATCAAAAAAAAAGACAGATTAGTTTCAGCTACCTAATAGTGTGTGTGTCTTTAATATTAAAGTTTTTGCATCTTTGTTTAAGCATTTGCCAGACAAAAAAAAAGTGGGAGAAGGCATGTGTGGGACTTATGCGGATGAGGGAATAGCATGGCTGTTGGAGTGGGTAGTGTGCCAAATGGGTAAGTGGTATTATCGCAGATGAATAGTGTGGGTGAAAGTGGAGAGTGGCAGGTGTGTCCGAGGGGCTAAGTTGGGCAGGTACGAGGTAGGGCAGC